ACCTCCACAACCTCACCGACCTCCACAACCTCACCGACCTCCACAACGAGAGATCAGTGAACAAGGCCAGGCTGATTCTGGCAGATCCTGATCATCCACTCCATGGAGAGTTCAGGCTGCTTCCATCTGGACGCAGGAATCTGCTGCCCAGGCGTAGAACGAACAAACTGAAAAACTCAATCTCTGTAGCGATCAGGCTTCTCAATGAACAATGATTTTCGTTATTTTAACATCTCAACGTCTTTTATAGTTTGGATGTTTTGTGCGTCTGACTGAAAAATTGCCCCTTGGGGATAATGAAGACTCTTGAACTTGAACTAACCAATATTGTTTAAGTTTTAGCACAACAACAATCTAAAAAAGAAACAGAAAGTGGTGGTTTTGTGATTAAGGACAGCTCTCAGTTTTATGTATTGGATTAAAATACATATACTGAATTAAAGTTTACTCAAAGTTCTGCTAGCCGGGAATAGATTTTCTTTAATTTTTCCACCAGGACAGATTGATCAACGAGGGGAACTTGTACTCCGTCGTTAAGCTTCAGCTCCAAGACCATAGTCTATTTGCCTGTAGGCGTTGCATTGTGTTGGAGGAGACGGCAATGTCGCCATTCACCAAATCACCCTTTTTAACTAGACCAATATTAGAATCACTGCTCCAATCCCCTCATACCCGCTTCATATGATTAAGTGCTCTGCACGAGGACAGCCACCCATCAGAGTTTAGTCTGAAACAGCAGAGCACGTGCAGCGTTCATCAGGAGGCTCTTGTTCCTCCAGAGATGCTAAGTAAACAGCTGCGACAGCTGCAGGCAGGATTAGAGGCCTGCAGTTGACAGAGCTGCAATTAGACTTACGAGGGGAAGGGGGGTGTAGTGGAGTGTGAAGGTGTTAATGCAGAGGAACCCCCTACACTTGTTTACTACATACCATGGTTGTTGAGGTTACTCCTCAGAAAGTATATACACATCTGGATAAGTGTTCATTTTACCTCCTAATCCTCCATGAATTATTAATCTGCAGCCGTTTCACATCAGAGGGCTGAATCTGTTCAGGTGGACTCACCTCTGGCTCCACCTCGTCGTCGTCCTCTGCGGGTGCAGCACCCTCTGTGCCACCGCTCTCCAGAAATTTGGTGAAGCCCTCCAGCGTCCTCTCACCGTTATAGTCAACCACCTGTCGACAGCAAGCCATTAGAAATTAACCGTTCACTCAAGACCTTTAAAAACAGTTTAATGATGTCGACGCAACTTTGTAGAAATGTTGCACAAATGTTGAATCAGAAAACAACTTTCTACACAAGACACAGTGTACAAGAAGGGCATTTTACTTCCACTTCGGATAATAAAAGCAGCGTTCCTTGAAGAATGCATGTCAGAGTTTGAACGGTCACAATAACTTTGTGACCCGCTGCTTCAGACAGAAGCCGAACCAAAACCGACAGCAGAGCTCACCTTGTGCTCCTCTCCTGCAGGGAAGAACTTGAGAGTTGGGAAACTGTGGACTTTAACGGACTCGATCTCGTTGGCTGTGGAGTCCATCTTGGCCACGATGGTGTCGGGGCTGTCCTTGTATTTTTCTCCCAGCTGTTCCCAAATGGGGGCCAGCTGTTTGCAGTGTCCACACCAAGGTGCATCTAAAAAAGATCCAAAGTTACAGAAATGCACATTACTGATGTCATACAGGAGAGACATGCACGAAGACCAAACGACGTGAAGCGAAATGATTCTTTAAATATATTTTGTTGAACTGTGTCTTCATCTGTTCAGCTTTACGCAGCTGAACGCAACGTCAACCTCATGCTTTAATACATCGTTTAGGAATCATCAGGGAGGGAATATGGGGCCTTCCCCGCCGTGCACGGCTGCTAACCAGCCCAACGTGGAAACATCCTCCACACACGGAGCCCATTTGGACTCAGATGGTTATAAAATATTCCTACTGCTATATTTAACGCCATCTTTTCAGTATCCGTGTCTGGTAGCACATTTGCAGGAAGGGGTTGGGGTGAGAATGAATCAGCAGACTTTGGAATCAACTCTGAAGATATTTTGAAAAGGGCTTGGAGAGATTTGAGTTTCAGACCGACGAAGGCCAAGTCTTTCACCTTTGAGGAACTAAAACATAAAATTCAAGCACCTGTAGTCGCTGGCGAGTTAAAGAAAAATTAAGAAAAACTCACAAAATTCCACAAAGACGTTCTTTGAAGGATTGAAGGCGATCTCCTCGAAGTTTTTGCCAACCAAAACCTTCACGGGGCTCTTGTCCCAGTCTTCAGGGATGTCCTGGCTCATGAGGTGTGGCTGCACGGTGATTAAACATCGCATTAAACGGGGTTACTTACAGCTGTAAAATAAAAAGATGTACGTAGAACTCATCCACGTAGTTTGGCGTAAGCAGCCTCACCTTCAGCTTGCCCTCGGTGAACAGCTTGCAGAACTCCGTGATGCTCTCTGCCGTGATGGCGTCGCTCTCCGGCTTGTACTTGGTCATTTCGTCCTCCAGGGTGATGAGGCGGATGGCGGGACATTCTTCCTTCTTCAGGCCGAAGAACTCCAGGATGCGCTGGTTGTCGTCGATGTCGCTGTCGATGAAGATGAACAGGATCTGCACGCGGAGACGGACAAAGACCAGACCGTGATCAAGGTTTGTCGCAACTCTATAAAGAACATCTCTAGATGGTTGGAGTCATCACGAGTGCCTTTAATGGCTGAAATGTCGATTTCTGTAGAAATTTACAGAGTTACGTTAGAATTATGCTAACCACCAGGAGCCTGTTAATGGTTGACAAATGGTGCACTCTTTACTCGGCACATAGTTTTCTTTTTCCTACTCCTAAATTACAACGAACCTGAAAGTTGCAGAGGTTCACACGAATGCTTTAATATTGGTTTACAGAAGTTTATGGTTACTGGAGCCCAAGCAGAAGCAGCAGCAACTTTCAAATCCTCAGTCTAGTTAAAATTTGTGAAATCAAAGAAACAAAACAATCAAAGAAAGAAAAGTTAAGAAATCAAAATCAGACCAATTTGAAGTGTTTATACCGCACTCTGGTGTGAAAGCAGCTACTTTTCAGGCTTTGAACCTCATGGCTTGTACAAAGCTGCAGCTAATTTATGGATTATTATTATTTATTTATTTTTTAAACAGGCTAACGAGCTTCCTGCCACCAAAAACATTTAACTTTGTCACACCTGAGCATTCACATGCCCAATACTTTATTTTACCGTTTAACAGAAAAGAGAGGGGAATCCCCACCTCTGGTCATCAGAAGGGGATTCTCCTCCTTCCAGTTTCACTGGTTCGACTGACCTGCAGTCTCATCAATACACGTCTCTCTTGGGGGGTGGGTCCTCATGACTCAGACTACCTCATTGGTTCATTGTGGTTGACTGCCCGTCACATGGCCTCGGAGGGATTATGGGTAACATTTATGTTCATTGTTAGTCGTTCAGTTGGACATTTTGCATCGTTCTTTTAGTGATCGGTCTGTTCTTCTTGGCCTAGTTTATGTTCATTATGCGTTAAGTTTGTGTTGGGACATTCGGTAGAGTAACCGTGAGTGAGGGAAGTAGTCGGCATGACTTGTGTGGTTTACTGTGCGTTTGTGTTGAACAGTAAAATAAAGGCTATAAAACGCCATCTGGTGATTGATTCTTGATCTACAAGAGCTGCACATCTTTGAGCGCCGTGTGCTGCCACTCATGTTGCGTTAACATCCGTAGCTTGTGTGTACAAATTTTTTAATTATTTTAATTAAGTGTGCGCCTTTATATCCAGGTGCGCTCGATAGACCGGTAATTACGGTACTTAAAATGCACATTTCTCATTGCAGCTTCTGACAGGAATTTCATTATTTCAACAGCGTAGGTGTATGAAATGGATTTAGCATGATGCAATAAATTTTGGGGCTTGAAATGGTTTTAAAAAATGGCATTAATCTACTTTGGCCTTAGCCACACGCAGACTAGCCGTTAGCTTCTGTCAGAAATAAACTTTCTCCAGAACGAGGCCATTCAGAGCCATCTTCAACAGGTAAGATACTAACTATTCATAGCCTTCTCAAAGAAACAATTTTATTGCACAAATAGGTTTTTCTACAATAAAAAAAGTGAATTAAAGACAGTTAATCTAATGCCCGCTTCCATCCGGGCGGTTTTCGTACCTGACCCTTGAATCCTTGGGCAGCTTTCTTAAACTGGTCCATTTTGCCCTGGAAGTCCGACGCAGTCTTGGGCAGGAACATGAGGATGTGGGATTTGATTTCTCCACCAAAGATTTTAGGAGCGGTCTGAATAAAAAACAAAATTATTTTCAGGGAACTCATTTTGTACAATCGATCAGAAAACACCATCTTAATGTTGTGCGCACTCTGCCCATCCTTTACCTGCTCGGTAAACTCGATGACCAGAGGCAGCTGGTTGGACTTTACAAAAGCCAAAAGGTTCTCTTTGGTCAGCTCTCCATCAAAGGTGTTGCGCCCTTCATCAAACTGCCAAGAAAAGCACAGACACAAATATCATCCACCTGGCGTCTCATCTAGTCTGCCTGAGAACAAACCTAGATTTACTGGACAAACCTCCCTTTTATTATTAGGCATTAATAAGAGCAGAGGCGCATCTCTGCCAAGCAGCTTTTTCTGGCTCACAATAAAAGGGGAAGAGCCTTCCGAGCACTGAAACTTAACCCTTAATCCTCAGCTGCAGTAAACGAGCCAGAAACGTGTAGTTTATCGTAACGTAGCTGCGGCTTTCAGTGAGTTTGCTTATCCACAGCCCACACGTTAACTGTGTTCACGTCAGAGTAAAGTTACCAGCAGGAATGTGAAGCCACAAAGGCACGGCGAGGTGAAAGCACTACTGCGATCATCTGGCGCTCTTAAGGTAAAGAGATTTGCAGCTGTGTCATGCTGAAGCAACACGGGCTGCAGGAAATTCTCTTCATAATCTGACTCATCCATGACGGCAACATTAAAGAACTGGAAAACCAAGTGGCAGATCTGCTGCTCCATAACCAAGTTTTTACCACATTTATAATTCTCATGCTTTTATTTCACGTCTGCAAGTCATTCGACTTTGACCCAGCTTGACGACTCGCATGAGGGTTCTGCTGATAAGGAAGCTGAACGCACATCAAAGCTTGAAGAAAAGAAACCTCAATATGAAAAACCACGAGCCGCTTCGCTCTGTGAGTCAAACCAAGATTTCTGAACATTCACATATTCAACTTTATTTATTTTCCAACCAAACGAGGCAAAAAGTGGAGCCGAGTGAGCCAACGTGAAAAGTTACATTGATTTTTAAAGTCTTCGCTGGGATCTGAAACCATCACATCTCATTTACAGCACAAGCTTAAATCTTAATTATGCAAATTCTAACAAGTTAGTTAATATTTTACAGTGCATTGGGCAATTTTATTTAAGGCTAGTAATGATTATTAAAAGATCCGTCGACAACCGCTTTAGTCTGGTGATTGTGCGAGGCGACATGCTGCTCGGTCAGCGCCACCATCTTAAGGGACCAGTACAAAATGCTTACGCTTGTGACTGGTATTCAGCTGAAGATGTAAACATCCACACTTTCACCTGCACAAAAACAGGAGCAGGAAGCAGTGGGCTAATCTCTGCAGGATGCAAGGACTAAAAAATAAAAGAAAAGAAATAGGTCTGTCTTAAAGAGGGTTATTAGCAATATGTTTTATGTTAAAGTTCATAAACTGGTCTGTTCATATTGCTGGGAGAGTTCACCAGTCCAGTGTAGTAGCACCCATCCTCTGGACATATCAAAGCCCAAGTTTAGCAGTTGTCCCGTGTTTTAGAACCAGTTTCATTAAAGCAGAAGTCAATAGTCAAATAATTGTTTCGTTAAGTACCAGTTTCAGTACTTCTGGTCATAGCCGACTCTGCATCAGCACATTTTTAAACCACAATACTCACAATTTCTGCACAAGCCTGCTTTTAATGCAGAAAAAAAAAAAAGATGATCAGAGTACCAACGAAACATTTCTGGATAAAACTTCCAGAAATTAATACTCGATAAGATTGCTTATACAAAAAAGTTTTTCTACAGTTAGTCCCTCAAAAATGGCCGCCACTCAAGTCCGGGGGCGATCTGTAGACAGTCAACCATTTTCTTGTATTTAAAGCTAACCAACTTGTGCAGCTGGTTGGTTCGACTGACTTAGTAGGTCACGGTTTTTATATGAAATAAATATAAAAAACAACATCTGTAGCTGAAAACCCACAGAAATTAGACTTTAGTGCACACGTTAAACGTAGTCTGCAAGAGACAGCTGGATTCAAGCAGCACGTTAACGAGCAACATTTGAGCTTAAAGCTTCATCTTTACCCTCCACTCAACAAATGGGAGCTGCATGAAACTGACCATCGGCTACTACACTTCTTGCGACCAATTCACCCGATCAAGCTGCAGAGCCACAAGCCAACAAGTTTTAAACCCTGAATGACCTCAGGCGAGCCAAGTTTAGAAACTGGGGACGTCTGCAGCGTCAGGTTACAGAAGGTCTAGGTCAGAAAGCAGCGGGGAGCCTTCAGAAGCTCCGAATGCTTCTACAAGTTTGTGTAGGTTAGTTTGGTCCAGGGGTTAAAATATGACAAAAACATCAAGTCACCTTCTTGAAGAGGACGACGCCATCTTTGGACACATCGAACTTTGTGTAAACTGCGTCACTGGAGGTCATGGCGAAGGGGACATCATCGATGGCTTCGGCTGCTTTTTCCAAAGCTTTGGCGTCGTCAGACCCAGCATCCTAAAAAAACAAAAACAACTTGTCCGTTCACTGAAAACTGTAAAACAGAGGCTTCTTTTGAGAAAAAGTTACACTGCAAATAAATAAATAAAATTCAGTTCAACTCCGTAAAGTTTAAAGGGACTCGTACCTTAAAGAAACCGATGACCGCCACCTCGTTGTCGGCAATCAGAGACTCCGCCTCGGTGACCTCGTTCAGGGTGGCGACGGCGGGCCCGGTCCGCTTCTTCAGCCAGTTGACGATGTCATCTGCCTGCCTGCCGGCTGCAACAACAAAAAACAGGCCACAAACTTTAGCGGACACAAGTTGAAATGGCTCCGATAAACGCAGAACACCAAAACTTTAAATCTAATTTCACAGTTCAGGAATGCGAGATGTTTAAATGGGACATCTACAAGTGTGAGAAAGCTTTAGTTCTTTATAAAGTGGAAAAAAAAGTAAACTTTTGAAACGTCTGCACTCATTTTGCCTCAGATTCAGTTTTTTTTGTTGCTAAATCCTTACTTTGTTGTATCAAAGTTAAAGACTAAAGGTCAGGAAACTCTTGTGTCTGCCTTTGAAGTGAGACTTCTGCGGTTCATTTAAGACCCGAGTGATTAAACGAACAGGTGACGCAACAGAAGCAACTTCCCTGATGAAACGCGTGTCAACGAGGCGATGCACAACGCGGCCGCTTGTAGGTGGTGTGTGCTTCTAGAAGCTGGATTTAATCCAGACTAGTCATTTCCACAAAAGCACTTGCCTCCACCTCCCGTCTCAAACGGAGCCTGGCTCAGGCCAGCAGAGGAGGCGACGTGATGAAAAGCACATATGTCAGGCCCGACTCAGCTCCAGCATGAGGGGAATGCGCCGAGGAGGCCCAACCCACAATCTGCTGGCTGCGTGTTGATGAAAGCTGATTGGCTGGCTTTTTTTTTATTTTTTTTTAAATGCAGCTTTGCAGATCAGATTACCATAATGAAAAGACTCTGTAGGTCATCTACAAAACTTATATAATCATTTCAGGCCACTAAGGCCAGTCTTTTGTGAAAGTTACTAAAGATTACATCACTTGAAAAGAAAGCACATTAGGTTAGAAAAATCAAAGTTTGCGTCGTGAATAAAACAAAATGTTCTAAAAATATGCATCAAACCAGATTAAAAACTGGAATCTGACTTTGTTTTTGTTTTATTGATCTAAAAACCAATCTACATCAGTAATGTGTAGAAATGCTTGAGTGCAAGTTATTGATGCAAACACGTCGGCCACAGAAAAGTCACTCACCGGAGTACTCCTTCGGAGACTCTTTATCTCCGCCCTTGAAGAACTTGATGGTGGGATATCCCCGGACGCCGTACTCCTGGGCCAGCTCGGTTTCCTCGGTGGCGTCCACCTTGGCCAGGCGGATGTCTGAATTCTGGCCCTTCAGCAAACCGGCGGCCTTGGCGTACTCCGGAGCCAGGGCCTTGCAGTGGCCGCACCATGGTGCATCTGTGGAGCACAATCAAAAAAGGTCTGCATCTGGTTTTACAGCAAAATATGGACTCAGAAAGAATAAAGCCGGAGTTACAACGACTACACTGGCAATATACTTTAATCGGGATTTAGGATAATAAAAATAAGACTATTAATGAGCAATGATTAGGTAATTAAAACGTTCACTCAAAAAAAAGGAGGAAGTTAACTCTTCTGCAACATTGATGCAGTTTTTACCTAAACTTGGTCACTGAAATTTCGAGATGGAAATAAAAACATCCCTTTTAAGATTTTTTTCTTTTGTAACAAATCATTCTTAAACTTTACAATCAAACAAAGTCTTTAAACTGATTTTGGTTAAACTTTTTTGCTCAAAAGTGACCAACATGAAGTTAGTTTGAAGTCAATAAATCAGTAGTATAATTTCGATATTGCAGTTGGCTGTAATAAATTTGGTCAAATATGTTCTTCTAGTTGGTTCACCATATTAAAAGCATTGTAATAGGTAAATATTAAACATTTAACTCAAATGTAGGCAAACAGAAACAAAAAGGATCTGTAGAAATGCATTGGATGCAACAATCAGAAGTGACACGTTGAATAAAGTGACCAATATTGCATCAGTAAAAGAACTAAAACTTCCTTGTCAAAGACCAGTCAATGTAAACGTGCAGGAACTTTTACAAGTACACGTCAACCCAGCTCCAAAAACCAGCCCAGAACCCGCCCAGCTCACGAACCAGACTCTCATCCCTCCCACGACCCGGAACAATGGGGAGCGTCTCCATCCGCAAGAACATTCCCGATTGGTCCAGACTGCTGTCAATCAAATTGTAGGCGGGCCAAACAATCTGACGAAAAGAGTAGCCTGAACCCTCCCAAACATTTATTAAAACCAATATCCTGCGGCTTTAAAAAAACTAAAATGCAACTTAAAATAAACTATAGGAAACACGCTTCGTTTGATGCGAACACAGATGTGAAAGTTAGCCGATAGAAACCGCAGGAGACAATCGAAACTTTCACTCTTCTCGTTCACTCAACGCTTTGATATTAAAAAGATTTTACAGATGGCAAAAAAATAAGGCAGCTCGTACCCCGAAATACTCCGGTAACGAAATAATTTACAACACCGCCGAACTTTTTTTTTTTTTTTTTTTTTTTTTAAACGTAACGGCTACAGAGAAGCTAACTTTTTGGTGCTAGCTAACCAAATGTAGCGAAAATGTTTTCAAAATGAAAAAAAAAAAAAGTAATTATATTTAGCTTGTTTCTATAAAGATTTAAGACGGTAATGCCCCTGGGTGTTTTGAATGCAGTTGAGCTCCATGTTAGCGGCTACCAGCAGCAATTCATCTTAAAGACGAAGTTTAAGACAAAACGGAGCGTTAGCTTCACTTACAGAACTCAACCAGAATATTGGGGTGAGCTTGGAGAGCCTCGTCGAAGTTACTTTTCTTCAGCACCAGAACATCTTCTTCTTCGGCGATCTCAGCTCGGCAAGCTACAGCCAGAGTACACAGGAGCCAAAACTTAAACATTGTTACCGTCGAGTTTCCTTCCGAACCGGGACAGCAGGGGCGCACGGTCAGCCGCGGGTATGTGGATAAATTCGTGTCGGGTTTTGATCTTTGTCTTCCTTGTTTGCGGGGTTTGGGAAGAGTAGCTGGTGTTTTGTGTCTACAGCTACTAACGTGGCAGCGCACGGAGAAACCGGAGGGGTCAGCCGCAGTGCGCATGCGCCTTTATAAGGTCGATAGCTGTTCGTGTTGAAATGTGACTGGACCGCAGCGCGCGCCACCTGGAAGTGAAACGGAGGCGTCGAAAAGCGCAGCAGATCCGCATTAAAGCGTAAAACCAACAAAACTGCGGGGAAAGAGGTTTATTTACGCATCGAGGAAGAGAATCCTGCGTTAAAACATCCGAGCTTTAATAAAAGATGCACAACAAATGGTTTTATGGGTCATTTTACAGCCTGTCATGCAGCTTTATGCAAATTGAATCACATATTTCAGTATTTATATTTTTTGTAATCTGATATTGGGCTTTTATTTCTAACAGTGCACACTAAAAAAACCGCTGGATTCAAAACAAACCTGGTGTTTGTGTCAAATTTGACCAGAACAAATCCTTGATCAACCCAGGTTAGTTTATCAGTTAATCCACTACAGGTTTTGTTTTTTACTTTTAGTTGACATGACTTATTTATTAGAGACATGTACTAAAAAGATCAACTCTGAGTAATTATGAGTCAGCACTAAGGTTTGTTATCTTTCTGAAGGTTTTCTTGCTGACTAACTAGTTTGTGCCTCAGCTAATCAAATGTAGTAAACACAAAAATAACTATAACAGTCAGTTTGACATTGAGATAAAATTTGTTGTCCTAGAGATGAGATTTACGGCTCTTTAAAGGGAGTCGGATCTTGTGGATCCATTTGTTTCAAGAAGCCTTTCAATTTAAAATAATTTCATTACAACATATGACCATCGTCATTACGTATGACCATACATGACTTGCTAATATTGTCAATTTGACTTTGAGATAATATTTGGTGTCCTAAGCTAGAGGTGTAATTTACAGTTCTTTGACAGGAGCCGGATCTTGTGGATCCATTCGTTTCGAGGAGCAGTTCAATTTGAAACGGTTAGTTTCATCACTATGTTTGGCCTATATCGTTACATATGGCTGTAATACATGACTTGTCAAGCATGCGACACCTCCTGAGAGCATGCTCCCCATGTACAACTGCTGCGCTCCTCCTTTTTGCCCGTGTCAGTGGAAAACCAAAGGAGGAGCGTCAGTGCGTATCTACACCCGAGAACAAAAAGTTGAGGAAATCATGATCAGGGAAAAAAAAAAAAATCGAATGGTTTTCAATTGTTATTCAAGTTCCATTGTTCATTTTAAAGAGCCGTTCAAAAGATTTGAATCGTCCATGAACGTCTCATTTCTAATAGTAGCTAAAAGTCATCACAGAGTCTGAGAGCTCAACTTTGATATGCAAGAGTGTGGGCAATACGCATTCCTTCAAGGGAGTTTTATTTTGTTTTGTGAAATGTCGTCAAAATAAAACCTGACATTTACAACTTTTTTTATGAAAAACTTTATTAAGATTATTGGAGGGCTTAAATTGTTTGGGTAGAAAAGTTTCAAATCTTGTTTTTAGAGAAATATTAAAGGCAGATGTCTGAAAATTGCTGAAATGCTCACATATTTAGCTGAAGCCAGACTTAAGGAACATTTTGAGTTGGTGATCACTTGTTTGCCCGCAGGACTGGATTATTTTAGTCTGTTTTCAAAGTTAGATGCTGGTTGCTGTATTAGTAAATTATTCTGAGTCATAGCTGAGTCCGGAGTCCATCGCCACGTCAAAGGTTTGAACAGCAGAGGCAGGAATTAGTTTTTACTTCCAGTTTAATCAATACGGTTTGGCACAAAAACTTTTATTATCCAGTGAAACTCAAACAAATATGATGTTTCAAAAAATCTTTGAGAGATTTATGACGATGGATTCAATAAGACTTTTCTTTAAATGCAAATATTAGATTTCAGCAGTATTGTTGCTTTTGTTATTTTTAATTAATTCCTGCAGTTTAGAACTGCAAGAACTCTGTATGAGGCGTCAGAGTCCGTTTAGTGGGCTCTCCGGTCCCCGTAGAACCGAAGTGAGTTCTGTATTGGTGTTCTCAGCACAAATGTTGTTCTCACTGTGGTTTGGACCCCACCTGGGCTGCACCTGATCTCTGACCCCGCTTGTGGATTTCAGTCGTGGTGTGAGAACTTCTGGGTGTCATTTTTTGCAGATGATGTGGTTCTGTTCTCTGAGTACTGGGTTCAGCTCCTCCAAGTCTAAAAAGGTGGTCCTAGGTGAACATTTGCCTCAATTATTTTGTTGTCCTCTTCCTGAGTGATGGATCAAAGGATCAAGTAGCCTGTAGTAATGAGGGTGTTGCTCCAGTCTGTTGTGGTGCAAAAGGCATAAAACGCCAAAGTTCTGGATTTACCGGTCCTCCTACTCTCCAGCCCTCACCTGAGGCCACAAGACACTGATTGTGACCAAAATAACAAGGTTTCTGATAAAAGCAGCTAAAAAACAGCTTCCTTTGTAAGGCAGAAGCTTTAGAGATAAGCGTCATGGGGGGAGCTTCTAGAGCCACTCCCCCACATCTGAAGCAGCCAGCTCAAGAGGTTTGGGAACAGAGGCTCCGAGCACCTCCCTCTGGAGGATTTCCAGGCATATCCCACTGGACGAAGACCCCAAGACAGACCCAGAATATATTGGACAGATCGTTTTCTGTGTCCTCTCTTGCCTGGATCACCTTTGGGTCCTGCTGCAGGCTCGTCTGGGCCCTGGATGAATGGAAGGTTCTTCCAGTCTAAAATATTTCCCTTCTCACAAAATTTGAAATAACCTAGTTGGAACAATACGCCTTATAATAAACTATTATTTCAGCTACTAAAAACAAGACCACATAGGGTGTTCAGTTTTTATAATTCATAAAACTTCTATTATGACACGCGAGCGCCACCATTATATTTACGCTGCAACGCATTCTGGTTAAACGACGTAGACCGGTTGCTCCGGTGTGAGCTCTATTCAAGCTTGAATGTTAATTTTGGACATTATCAGATGTTCAGCCTTTAATTTGAACCGGAGCGAGTTGACAGAGAGGAGAACAGAGAAATGAACCGATTTTCAAGCTAGCGACAAAGCTAACATGACGTTAGCTCCGGAGCTAATTTTTATGGCATTATTTCCAGATCTAATATATTAGTGCCACAGCTAATATTATAATATACATACTGGTAATACGACATGCATATATATATATAAAGCATTAGCAAATTGATCATGTTTGATTGTTTCAACCCAAATATTTAGTATATGGACAAATTATAACTTTATTGTCACATGTAACTTTTTATCCTTGCCTCCTTGTGTGTTAGTCTCCACTACAACCGATGCACGTCATCCTTCCTGAATGCGTTGCACCGGTAATATAATGACAACGTCCTTAGGTGCAAAATGTAGCAAACATAATTTTTCGAGCAATTTTTTTCCCGCGTCATAAACAACAACCTTTAGTAGAGAATTAAGGCCAAACTGTGCAAAAAGTTGGAGATCCGTTTAAAAAATGTTGTGCGGAACACACCAAGTGATAAAAGGTTTTAGGCGTTTTGTTGTCTCTACCATCAAACACAACCTAAGGAGCGTCACAGTCTTCACATTCTCTCTGGGACGTGTCAGGATTCCAGACAGGACTGTCCAGAACCCCTGTCCTCCTCCTCTTCTGGTAAAAATGGATGGACTTTATAAAGAAACATTTGAAGTCTGCAACATTTGAAGAAATCTTTCCTCACGACCGACGCTGAGGTGGATTTAAGATGGTTAAAACGTTCTACAAGCGTGAGCGACTCAAAGGGACAAGTTGAGCTGTAATCTAATGGCCATGAAATTTAGAGTTTATCACTAGAACTACAGTCATGAAGGTCAAAATGTGCGTTTCTTTCCTAATCTCACTAAACTGAGCACATTTGGTTTTCTTTTGTTAAACCTTATTATTGTGAAATCGCTCATTTTCCCCCCATGTGCCAATTTTTCTTACGAATGGACGCAGCCATCTACGTTTGCATCATAAATAACCTAAAAAAGAAATGCTTAAACGAGTACTGCAACTTTACCAACCATGAAATTCATTGTTTTGTGTCCTGGATTTAACTAAAGCGCAGAATCTAAAGAATGAAAACGGTAAAAGAAGAGACAAACAGAGTTGAGAACAACAAACAGGAGGCAGCGATCTAAATCAGGCCTGCAGGGCAGACCTGAAACCATCACCGCACCTCTAGTGGACGAGCTTGCAGAACCCTCCAGAACCCTGCGGAACCAGTTTTATGTTGGGAAATCTGAATAATCACAGTTTAGTGCTGGTCATCGTTGTTCAATCCACTTTAAGAGATGTTTCAAATCTTTTCAAGCAACGTTCTGTGGAAAATTTAGAAATTTGATGTTTATTGAACAAAAGGTTATGAACAATTATTATGTTACCTGTTGTAGATAGTTCTTTGGACAACTTTATTTTGGAGTTTAATTCTAATTGGACAGATGAGCTAATAGCTAGCCCAAATGTTGGACTGGGTGGACTTGGATCGTAGTGTAGCAATCATTCAGATGAGTTCTTTTCAGGTAAGGTCTTTAAAAGTCTGCTTCTCTGATGGTATGGGGGTGCACTAGTGCCTCCGTCATGGGCAGCTTACACATCTGAACAAGTCACCATCAATCTAGAACAGTCAGGTTTTAGAACATTAGCTCACACCTAGATTTTTTGTTGTTGTTTTGCAGAGACTAAGCCGCCCTCTGCCTCCATCACAACAACGTGATAACAGAGACCGTTATTCAAAGAAGAGGGGATCCTTCACAGAGAGGAAACAGCCCATGCTGCCATAAAATTCAAAATGACCTAAAAACGGTACAAGTTTTTAGTTTAAACATTTAATGTGCAATATGTCCCGTTGTTAATAAAATATTGGGTCTGCAACTGGTTGCACTCTGTTTTTATTTAGGTTTTCCCAACAACCATAGTCACAGTTTTGCAGTTTAGAGTCCCAGAATGCAGACTGAACACGAGGAGGTGGAGCAAAAAATGAAAACTTATTAAATTTACAAAATGAACAAGCTGGTGGGGGCAGAAAACTACAACAACAAAACTCTAGCAGACCCTGGGGGAGACCTGGACCTGGTG